CGATATGGGGCAGGTATTAGCCAATAGTCAGCGTGGGTTTGGGTGTGGGAGAGCTATATAAGCAGCAGGAGTTGCGTCCTCTTGCATTAATGGTCTGTTGAGAGAAGACCTTCTACTTAGAGTAGGTGGCGCTGACTATTTACATATGAACGACTATTAGCCAATAGTCATATGCTAATAAGCAGCAGGAGTTGCGTCCTCTTGCATTAATGGTCTGTTGAAGACCTTCTACTTAGAGTAGGTGGGCTGACTATTTACATATGAATGATACGGGGCAGGTATTAGCCAATAGTCAGCATGGGTCTGGCACTGGGAGAGCTATATAAGCAGCAGGAGTTGCGTCCCCTTGCATTAATGGGCTGTTGAGAGAAGACCTTCTACTTAGAGTAGGTGGCGTGACTATTTACATATGAACGATAATGGGCAGGTATTAGCCAATAGTCAGCGGGGGGTTTGGGTGTTGAGAGCTATATAAGCAGCAGGAGTTGCGTCCTCTTGCATTAATGGTCTGTTGAGAGAAGACCTTCTACTTAGAGTAGGTGGCGCTGACTATTTACATATGAACGATACGGGGCAGGTATTAGCCAATAGTCAGCGTGGGTTTGGGTGTGGGAGAGCTATATAAGCAGCAGGAGTTGCGTCCTCTTGCATTAATGGTCTGTTGAGAGAAGACCTTCTACTTAGAGTAGGTGGCGCTGACTATTTACATATGAATGATACGGGGCAGGTATTAGCCAATAGTCAGCATGGGTCTGGCACTGGGGAGAGCTATATAAGCAGCAGGAGTTGCGCCCCTTGCATTAATGGGCTGTTGAGAGAAGACCTTCTACTTAGAGTAGGTGGCGTTTGACTATTTACATATGAACGATATGGGGCAGGTATTAGCCAATAGTCAGCATGGGTTTGGGTGTGGGAGAGCTATATAAGCAGCAGGAGTTGCGTCCCTTGCATTAATGGTCTGTTGAGAGAAGACCTTCTACTTAGAGTAGGTGGCGCTTGACTATTTACATATGAATGATATGGGGCAGGTATTAGCCAATAGTCAGCATGGGTCTGGCACTGGGAGAGCTATATAAGCAGCAGGAGTTCGTCCCCTTGCATTAATGGGCTGTTGAGAGAAGACCTTCTACTTAGAGTAGGTGGCGCTGACTATTTACATATGAACGATACATGGGGCAGGTATTAGCCAATAGTCAGCATGGGTTTGGCACTGGGAGAGCTATATAAGCAGCAGGAGTTGCGCCCCCTTGCATTAATGGTCTGTTGAGAGAAGACCTTCTACTTAGAGTAGGTGGCGCTGACTATTTACATATGAACGATATGGGGCAGGTATTAGCCAATAGTCAGCATGGGTCTGGCACTGGGGAGAGCTATATAAGCAGCAGGAGTTGCGTCCCCTTCCACAATGGGCTGTTGAGAGAAGACCTTCTACTTAGAGTAGGTGGCGCTGACTATTTACATATGAACGATACGGGGCAGGTATTAGCCAATAGTCAGCATGGGTCTGGCACTGGGAGAGCTATATAAGCAGCAGGAGTTGCGTCCCCTTGCATTAATGGTCTGTTGAGAGAAGACCTTCTACTTAGAGTAGGTGGCGCTGACTATTTACATATGAACGATATGGGGCAGGTATTAGCCAATAGTCAGCATGGGTCTGGCACTGGGAGAGCTATATAAGCAGCAGGAGTTGCGTCCCCTTGCATTAATGGGCTGTTGAGAGAAGACCTTCTACTTAGAGTAGGTGGCGCTTGACTATTTACATATGAACGATACGGGGGCAGGTATTAGCCAATAGTCAGCATGGGTCTGGCACTGGGAGAGCTATATAAGCAGCAGGAGTTCGCCCTCTTGCATTAATGGTCTGTTGAGAGAAGACCTTCTACTTAGAGTAGGTGGCGCTGACTATTTACATATGAACGATATGGGGCAGGTATTAGCCAATAGTCAGCATGGGTCTGGCACTGGGAGAGCTATATAAGCAGCAGGAGTTGCGTCCCCTTCCACAATGGTCTGTTGAGAGAAGACCTTCTACTTAGAGTAGGTGGCGCTGACTATTTACATATGAACGATACGGGGCAGGTATTAGCCAATAGTCAGCATGGGTCTGGCACTGGGAGAGCTATATAAGCAGCAGGAGTTGCGTCCTCTTGCATTAATGGTCTGTTGAGAGAAGACCTTCTACTTAGAGTAGGTGGCGCTGACTATTTACATATGAACGATATGGGGCAGGTATTAGCCAATAGTCAGCATGGGTCTGGCACTGGGAGAGCTATATAAGCAGCAGGAGTTGCGTCCCCTTGCATTAATGGGCTGTTGAGAGAAGACCTTCTACTTAGAGTAGGTGGCGCTGACTATTTACATATGAACGATACGGGGCAGGTATTAGCCAATAGTCAGCATGGGTCTGGCACTGGGAGAGCTATATAAGCAGCAGGAGTTGCGTCCCCTTCCACAATGGGCTGTTGAGAGAAGACCTTCTACTTAGAGTAGGTGGCGCTGACTATTTACATATGAACGATACGGGGCAGGTATTAGCCAATAGTCAGCGTGGGTTTGGGTGTGGGAGAGCTATATAAGCAGCAGGAGTTGCGTCCTCTTGCATTAATGGTCTGTTGAGAGAAGACCTTCTACTTAGAGTAGGTGGCGCTGACTATTTACATATGAACGATACGGGGCAGGTATTAGCCAATAGTCAGCATGGGTCTGGCACTGGGAGAGCTATATAAGCAGCAGGAGTTGCGTCCCCTTCCACAATGGTCTGTTGAGAGAAGACCTTCTACTTAGAGTAGGTGGCGCTGACTATTTGCATATGAACAATACGGGGCAGGTATTAGCCAATAGTCAGCTTGGGTCTGGCACTGGGAAAGCTATATAAGCTCAGGAGTTGTGTCCCCTTCCACAATGGGCTGTTGAGAAAGGACTTTCTACTTACAGTGGGTGGCACTGACAATTTGCATGTTAATGATACAGGGCAGGTATTAGACAATTGTCAGCATGGGTCTGGGACTGGGAGAGCTATATAACACCAGTATTTTTTTTTTCAGTCAAGAGAAGTGCTCTCAGTGTATGGGAAACCAGACAAGACAAACACAGTATCTTTCTTCACATGACCTCCTTTCTGATAAGCAATATGGCTTACATTTCTCCAGGTCTACCTCCAATGTGTTACCAGACATCACGGAATTCATCTACCAAGGTTTAGATAAGAACAGCTGTGACCCTAGATATCTAAAAGGTGTTTATCAAGTTTTAGTATGATGGCCTTCTCCATAAGCTCAAGGGCTACAAGGTCCCTGGACAAATATTTGACCAAATCCAATTGTTCCTAACAAATCGTTTAATGAAGGTCATGTTGAATGGCACATTTCTTGTTCATATCTGTGTTCTGTTCTTGGACTTTTGCTATTTCTGATCTTCATCAATGATTTTCTTGATGTCATTCTTTCCCAACTAGATATCTCACAGTTTTTACTGACAAGAAATGGAGTGATTATATTGAATCACTAGGTTTGCAGCTAGGAGAGTTGGTTCATTCTCGTGCCAGACAATTTTTCTTTTCAGAATCCATCTTGCACATTTATAAATCTACCATTCTCCCATGAACTGAGTACTGTTGCCATATCTGGTCTGATGTTCCTACTATATATCTTGAGATTCTTGACAAAATCCAAAGAAGGGTCTGTAATGTAAGACATGACTTACTTCGGAATTCGAAACAAGCACGAACATGTCTTGCCTGCAAAGTGATGACAAAAAAAATATGGTCACTATTGACGACACGACATTTGCTCACATGCAAATTTTGTCCGTCTTGGAATAGCATAAAAAGTGGGTGCCAGCAGCATGGGGAGATAAGCCATTTGGCAGACTGTGTGTGTTAGTTGGATGTACGGATTGACAGGCAGACAGACAGACAAAGAGGAAGTTGAAGTAGGTGCGGCTGAGTTGGTGACTGTTTCACAACTGCCCAGTGTAATGGCCGAGAAAGAGAGCCACACAATCCATTTCCTTGAGGTGACCGAAGAAGAAGAAAAGCTGTCCTGCTGGCGAGTGTCATGCTGCACTTTTTGACACCCCTCATCATTTTTTTTAACCTACAGGGTCTGTAATGTAATAAATCCTAACCTGGCATCTCAACTTCAGTCACTTTTTCACTGGTATAACATGGCTTTCCTTTGTCTTTTCTACAAATATTTTCATGGATATTGTTCTGATGAGCTGTTCTCTTTAGTGTTTCGTTTGCATGAATTTAAATGTGCTACTTGATTGGCAACTAAGATACAATTGTCAGCTTATTCTAAAAGTTTCCTTTCTCTCACTTCTTGCCTGTGGAACTTCCTTCTGATTTCTTGTTTCCCTGCCACCTACAATTTTCAAAGATTTAAATGCAATGTCAATGGCCATCTTCTGTCTTTCTGATTTTTGCTCTAAATCCTGTTCCTTTATTGTTTTTTCCTCACTTCCCCTCACTAAAGACTTCTCATTCTCTTTTATTTCCTGTAACCTCCTAGTAGCATTGTTGGCTTTCTTGGGGTGACATGATTAAAAAAAAATATATATATTTTAAAAATTGGGTTTTATTAAAATTCTAAAAATAACTTCAAAAATAATTAATAATTGCCAAAAGAATCAAAATTATATACATTAATAGCAGTGTCAACCCACTAAAGTTTTCTAATGCTCTTTTCACCACTTGCTGTATCCTCATGACATTGTTGCCTTGCTTGGGGTGAAATGATTAAAAATATTTGGGTTTTATTAAGATTCTAAAAATAGCTTTTTAAAACAAAAGAATTTGTCAAGGGAGCATATCATAATAGTGATGTCAAGATGAAAGCCATCCTTTTGACACACTTCATAATAGTTATGTCAAGATGAAAGCCATCCTTTTGACACACTATTTTTTTTTCTGTATATGTTTCTTATACTTTGTCAAACTTGCTTTCTAACTTTTTGTCTCCATTTTAATTATTGTACTTTTTCTTTAATTTTGTTTCCAGAAGCTCGAAGCCTCAGTAGTATAACATACTATGAACAAAAGGATGATCCACGTTTTCTCCCCATTGATGATGACAACAGCTTTGCCCTTGATTATACTGACATCTTCAGTGACAAAGATGATCATGTAGACATTTTAGAACCTAGCCAGCCTCGTGTACGTGCATACACTTATGATAATTCAAGTAGTTTACCATCAAAATTTAAGGCTGATGACAGTTGGATTACCTTGCCACAGTCAGTTGCATCTGCAACTATATTGCAAGCCAAGAAACAAGACCAGGGTCTCAAGAATGACACAAATGAGAAACTGGAACCTTGTGGCTTGGTTGCAACAGCGTCAGTCACAAATGAGATGAAGTCTGCTACAACCACTGCTGCTCCCACGAAACCCGTGGCGTCAACAGCTAGCCCACAACTTTCAAGAAAGGAAGAGTTAAGTCATATGTTACCGTCTGCTCCATATACAAAAACTCCAGGAGTTTCTTCTACTACAGAAATGAGACATCTTGACATGACTGATGGTTCTTTGAAAACTCCTGCAAGTACATCAAAAATGTCCGGTGATGGTTCCAAAATATCCGCTTCCTCTGTCTCTGTAACTGTTTCTTCTGACAACAAAGAAACTGTAGAGGAAGGCAAAATCCAAGCAATGGTACCTTATGAATGTGGCCAGAATAACAACAACAACAATAATAATAATAATAATGATGAAGCTGTCAGTGAGTGCATGCCAACACGGTTTGCTAAAGATGATATTCCTTGGAACCCAGGGAACGTTCGAAAGCAGCGTGAGAAGATGGAAGAACAAATTAAGAGTGGCACAAAGGATGAAACGGTGACTGAAGATGATGGAGCTGCATGGGAGGCATTAAAGAATGACAAGGAAATGCCCATTTCTGACTATCATTCCCAACCTGAACAAGTGCAGGCTCCATCTGCCTCTTTTTCTGTGATGCATTCCTCCCCACAAAAGTTAAAGACCTCCCACAGCTTCTCCTCTTTTCCTGTTAGTGGTGACGAGGCACAAAACACCCCTGCTGGTGGGGGTTCAGTTTGTGATGCTGCCACTGTTGCAGAGCGTCCTCAGAGTGTCTGCTTTATGCCTTCTGGCAAGGACATGTCAGCTACTCTTGCAGGGACACAGAAAGACTCTTTAGTTTCTGTCCAAGAACCATTGTTCGATTCCATGCTGCCCTCGGTGTACAAGATGGAGGACATTGATCTTCCAGCTGGGATTGTCCGAAGAACAACTAAAGAATTGGAAGAAAAACACAGGTGAGACTTGATAGTTGGTGTTTGTGTGTGTATCTGAATAAGGAGGGTGTCTCCATATTTGTTGCCTTACTGAAAATTTTGTTCTTTTAATTGTAATATACAGCAAATTCTAGTAGACATCTGTTTATCTTGCAACATAAGGGTAGTGCCTTGTTTGGTCAAAATTCAGTCCCTTAGCGGTGAAACTGGGGTGACCTCTGGGCGGTGATATATGTAGGCTGTGTGCTTCCCAGACCCCATGGCTCCATCTCAGCTGTACCGACAAAATTCAAAGGAATATAGAGCATTACATTTGAGGACAGCTTAACTGCAGGAATTGAAGGAAAGTTGTTCATTTTAGTTGTTACTGCTGTTGGAAGTTTTCAAGTGATCTTGTGTCAGTTATTTTGTAAAGTTCTTTGTGATTCTTTGGTGCCAATGCACATGGTTCAATGAAAGATGGTAATCTCTAAGACCTACAGGTTGTATTCGGTTGAAACCATTTCTAATGATTGAAAAAACAGTTATATCTGTCAGTTTAGCTATTTCTGAACAAATTGAACATCAGGCATAACATTCATATGACAGTCTAGATCTGACGAGGCTATTTAAAAACATGACTAGAGTTTTTAAGTTAATGTTTTAGTTTTGCAGCATCTTGTGGTATTGGGCAAAACTACCCCATATTCCATTTCCTAGATTATATTTGTTAGAACTAATTCAGACACTGAGGTTTTTGAAGTGTTTAATATAGTACCTTGACAAATTCGTGATACCTAAGGTTTAAAATTATTTTTTAAAAATGTAACTCTTTCTTGAAGATTTTATTTCAGTTTTAATTTCAAACAAATAAATTAAATTTAATATTTCCAATAAGCAAAATACTTTGCTGTATTTGAAAACTAATTTAAATTAACTGGAAGGAATTTTTGTTTTGAAATTGCTAAACTTTGCACCATTTCTAGCCATTTTTTGGAAAATGTTTCAAAAATGAAATATACTTTTCTGAAAATTTATTTGAGGAATATTAGGTGATTTAAAGTGTAATTAATCTGATTTGCAATTAAATATTACTTTTAGTTTAAAATGTTGCAGAAATACATTTTTAAACATGATGGTAGCTATTTATATAAGACTGACAGAAGTTTAATTTTTTTCTATGGTGGACATATTTGTAAAATATACTTGAGGAATATAACATGAGCACTTTTTTATATAATTTTTTAACTCTCCAGTAATCTTTAAAATTTAGGGAATATTCTCCATAATCTTATGTTTTATTGTATTTTAGATAATTTGGCTTTAAATTTACTATAGTTATCACTCTTATTTTCTGATAATGTCATGTATGGACACCTGTATTTAAAAAAATTGGCATGTTTATACACATACAAAAAATTTTTTCAAATTCTTTTTAAAATATTGGTGGTCAATGAATTGTACTAAGCTTTTCCATTTATGATTAGTAAATATACTTTTTACTTAATAACAATATCACAAAATAATACAGAAATTTAAAAGATTTAAAACTTTATAAATTATTCTAATTTTTAAAAAAATGAAAACAATTCTTGTAAAAATTCATTATTCATCAAAAAAAATTTTTCTTAAGACGATAATGTCCATTATATATCTCATTCATAAAAGCAATTAAAAGCTTTTCTAATTAAATAATGTCTTAATTTTATTGCATTTTTTTATGATTCAAAGCAGATTTTCAGTAATTGGTGGTCCTCTTTTACAAAAAGATATTGATAATTGAAATTCTCTGATTTTAACTAATATAAACATTAAATGCCACAAAAATTAATTTCTCAAAATTTTATAAAATTAAATAAGCAGTAGGTAACAAATGTTATATATTTATGTGTGTGTGTGTGTGTGTGTATATATATATATATATATATATATATATATATATATATATATATATATATATCATTTTAAAAAATATTTTCTAAAGAAAAACATATCTAAAATTTCATTCATTTGTGAATCAGTCCTTGAAGTTTCATTAATATCTGATAATTATTTGATTTTTGCAAGAATTTCCAAATCAGTGTTTTGCGTTGCCAAAAGATGCTAAAATTTCCTATACTAATCTTTGATCCCACCACTGATGAAAAAAAAAAAAAAAAAGAAAAGATTTTTAACCAAAATTTTGAACATTCTAAAAATGTTGTGAATATGGCATATGAGGATAACAGTATAAAGAATGTAAATAATTCTAAAAAGAATAAAAAAAAATATAATTTAATAATCAAAAAATCCTTTGGTCTTTCCTCTTGATAATAACAAAATCCTTGATAATAAATTTTTGTTTTAAGTTTGGGGAATCTTTTCTTCATTGTATGCTAATTTTTTAGTGAATCAGTGGAGCTACCAAGTTTAATGTTTTTTTCTGTACTTATATTTGTATAACAAAGTTATATGAATTTAAGTGCAGTACTTGATTGGCAGCTAGGTCACATCATTTTACATTTGAAATTGCTGAATGTAACCCTATCTAGTTTCTGCTCATCCCTTTTTATTCTCTTTGTTTTAGACATTGAATTTTGTACTTTTAATATGATTTTTAAATTTAGTCCAGTTTCCAATATATTTCCATCAGAATGTTTTAATTTTAAATTTGAACGATTAAGAGGTTACAGGTATGGACTTCGATATAATGTAATGACTGGAATGACATTTTTTAATATTTTTCTTTATTTCTGAAAAGATGAAAATACTTTGGTGTAAATTCGAAAATAAAGTAAAAAATTAGACAAATAAAACAGATTTTTAATAGTTACCCATTTAGTGAAAACCAAACAGAATGGGGATTAAATTTGTTTTCATCTATTATAGGTCATGTGACCATGAACTGACCACTGTGGGTCTCTCCCATGAAGACAAGAAACCCCAACCAGTACAAAGGTCATCCAGTCTAGGCTCAGAACGTGACCGACCACGGCTGGAAAGGACGAAACGGCGGAAGACATGCACCCCTATTTTGTCACCAGGGAATTTTGAGTCATCTGAGTTTCCTTTTTATGATCATTCAGCTTCATTAGATTGTGCAGATTTGGACCCTGATGTAGGGCAGGACTCCAAACTGCATCCCCCTTTGTGCTCTGCTGCTAGTATGGAGGACCACCTGTTGTCATCTTATACTGAGGACAGCCAGGTTAAGGATATTATGGTCTACCGTTATGGCGCTGAACAAGTTGAGATTACAGGAGGTAGTGTTCGCAGAAGAATGAAAGGTGAGAGATTTTTGGCAGGGGGGATTGAATTTCATTATTACATCTTTTCCTTTCTTTCTTTCTTTCTTTCGTGTTATTTTTTCACCTCTGTCCTGCAATGTCCCACCTGGTATGTGCCATTTCACTCTTACTCTTCCATTACCTCCTTCTCTCTCTTCACTTCTCTTCATCTACTTCATTTCTTTCTTTTCCTTTTTTCTTTTTTAGTTCTTTTCTCCTCTTTTTCTTTTTTCTGTTTCCACTTTTTGTTTACTTTTTCCTCTTCTCCTTTTCTGTTTTTTTGCTTTTTCCTAAAAAACGAGAGGAAAAAGGAGGGGGACACGGAAAAACAAGGAAATTTTTTTTCTTTTTTCCCTCTTTTTTTTTTCTTTTTTTTTAAAAATTTTTTTCCCTTTTTATTTCTTTTGTCCTGTGTCTTTTTCTTTTTCTCTTCTGTCTACTGAGGTCACCCATTAAAGTATTGTCCCACTCAGTCGCGTAGCTAGTGTTTTTGCTGCCGGGGAGTGGCCTTCAAGTTTGCTGCTCCTCCCCAGAAAGAATACAGTATTACAATGCACATTAACGCCTTAAAGTTATATATATATATATATATATATATATATATATAACACACACACACACACACACACACAATGCTAAAATTATTCATGCACCCATCAATTTTTAATATTTTTATCCATTTCTCAGAATTTAATGCCACTAATGTTTAAGATTCTTCTTTGGACCCCTGTGTTAGAGAATATGAGAAAAACTACTATTAAGGAGTGAAGACAATAAAAGAATAAGAATTAAGAAGACAGAAAATAACGATTGACATTGCATTTAAATTTTTGAAGATCAAAGTTGACTGGAGAGCAAGAAGCTGGAAGAGATTTCTGCAAATGTGAACTGTGAGAGAAAAAAACTGTTAGTAAAGAACTTACAGCTATATCTGGCCATTACAACTTTAAAATGATGAGACCTTGCAAGCAAACTAGTACTGTGCTTAAATTCATAAATTCTAGGTACTAAAGAGGAAAGCTCATGAGAACAATTGCCCTAAAAATATTTATAGAAAGTGCACAGGAGAGCTACATTGAGCTGGTGCAAAAGTGACTGCAGTATCTGGCGATACTTGCCAAAATCCAAAGAAGAATTTGCAATGCTATTCATCTTAACCTGGCATTTTTTTAATCCCTCTTCCACTGCCATAATGTAGCTTCTCTGTGCCTTTTCTATAAATATTTTCATCGCAATTGTTCTGAAGAGATTTGCTCTTTGGTACCTTAACTTCATGAATTTAGTCATAGTACTATAGCATTTAAAGTTGGAAATAATCAAACTCAAATTGATACTAAACAATTTCAAGTTGGCAAATATATATATTTTCAACCAAACAAATGAGGCATAACAATGAAACTGAACAAGCAAATATTTATTGTCACTAACTCATTAATTATGGAATATCAATGTACTCATGCATGTCAAAAATTCATATCCTCAAGATCCAAGGCTGGCTGTATAAATCGCTGAACATGTGCCAGCAGAGCAGTACATTTAGGCAGGGTTATTAGAGGTATATTATTGGCAATCACTTGCTCAAGCTGTGCACTGCAAAATTCAGTTTGTGTTGCATTTCATTGTCCTTTGCCTACAAGAACTCAAAAAAGCTTCAAAGTTACCTCAGATTTTACACAAGCCTTAAGAATTGACCATACTCCTTCTCTCAACATTTGTTTTTGTCGATATTGCTAATCGCATTCTCCGGCTCATTGTAAACCTTTTTGAATTTGAATAATAGTCCATTCAAATGTTGTCGAACACATTCAGAACACATTCAGAACACATTCAGAACACATTCAGAACTCACAAACATATTGAATCTCTGCTGTATCAAAGCTGACAGCTGCTATCGTTAATTATCGTTTCTCCTCCACACACTCTTTAATAAAAGCCTTGTGTTCAGCACCAATTTTAGAACACCGTAATCCACCATGTTGCTTTTCGGGTTCATCACATGTAGTTACCCATTGGTATGCTGTGGATTTTTTAATTCCAAGACTGTCCACAAGACTTCACAAGTCACCATTAGTATCGTATGCTACTCTTATTTGCTTCTTCAAATCAGCTGCCTGGACTTTCTTAATATAATTACCACATTGATTACCAACAGTTGCCATGACAATCATTTCAGATGTGGATGGGCGAAGAATGAAATATTTTATTTGTTAAAGAAAACCATGTGATCGTGATTAATCACTGTGCGTATATGGTTTAATTGATGACACATGTCATGAATTGCTGTTCTTGGACATTGACATTTACACCAGGGTGGTACCAACTTGAAATTGTTTAGTTTCAATCTGAAATTGATTATTCAACTTAAACTTGAAATGCTGATTGGATGCTTGGTCTTGTCATTTTACTATTTAAATTGCTAGATGTTAGTAAATTCTATTCTAATAATTTCTTTCGCATGAAATATGTTTAAACTTTAACCCACAATTGTTTGATAAGCTGCAAAACATCAAATCAGTTTATCAGCTGTGTAACTCTCTTCCAGATTCTTACTTTCCTGTCAGCTACAATCTTCAAAAATTTAAATGCCCTGTCAATCATGATCATTTATTTTTCTTGAATCCTGTTCTCTTTATTGTTCTTTCTCCTCGACAACGCTTTTTCAGTTTCCTTTACCCGACAATAAACTACATCCAGCAACAAGGAGATTGGGAGATTGAAGGTGGAACTATCTCTTAATTACTTTTGTTCCCAGGTTGACTCTGACTCGGAGTGGTAGCACCTGTTAAGGTCCAAGCTTTCGGTAAATAATGAAAAACGAAAACAAAACACTATAAAAGTATAAAAATACAGGAATACATTTTATAGTAGAATTGCTGGCAATACATTTTATAGTAGAATTGCTGGCAATACATTTTATATACATTTATAGAATTACTGGCAATATATTTTATAGTAGAATTGCTGGTAATACATTTTTAGTAGAAGTAGCTATACATTTTATAGTAGAATTGCTGGTACATTTTATAGTACATTTTATAGTATAATTTATAGGCTATACATTTTATAGTAATACATTTTATAGTAGAATTGCTGGCAATACATTTTATAGTAGAATTGCTGGCAATACATTTTATAGTAGAATTGCTGGCTATACATTTTATAGTAGAATTGCTGGCAATACATTTTATAGTAGAATTGCTGGCAATACATTTTATAGTAGAATTGCTGGCTATACATTTTATAGTAGAATTGCTGGCTATACATTTTATAGTAGAATTGCTGGCTATACATTTTATAGTAGAATTGCTGGCTATACATTTTATAGTAGAATTGCTGGCTATACATTTTATAGTAGAATTGCTGGCTATACATTTTATAGTAGAATTGCTGGCTATACATTTTATAGTAGAATTGCTGGCAATACATTTTATAGTAGAATTGCTGGTAATACATTTTATCTGTAGTTGACACCATACAATTGCCTTCAAAATATTTAGATTTCAGCATTAAATAATCCAAAGAGATGTTGATATGCAAAAAAAAAATCACCCAACCAAATCAGTAACCCTTTGCGTCTTAGTGACTTTATTATCTTTGTTGGGGTGAAATTAATAGAAAATAATTTTTTAAATCACAAGGTGTAATATGGATTTTATTAATTTTCTCCATCCTTTTTCAGATTCAGCATTAAATAATCCAAAAAGATATGCAAAAAAAAAATATGTCAGTAAAAAGATTCATTTGATTTTTTAAAAAAAGACACAGATTTGACAAAGACACAGAAGATGTTGCTTGTCTATCGGAAAGCTCAAAACAAGGCACCCTGAATTCCGTCTTGGGACATGCAACTTCCTCAAAGACCACAGCACCCCCATCTACACCTCCAATAACCACGATTACCACAGTGTCCACTGCCAATGTCACAATGACTACTGCTAGCAAATCTTCAACATGTGTTAGTCCCAAAAATACTGCTAGGATATCAGCGGCTGTCACCACTACTACCCCAAGCAGCACTGTGCAGATGACTCCCAAAACCTTAAGAAAACAGGAGGAATTGAAAGGAGCTTGCAGCAAATCCGTCGCTCAGAAAACGGTGAAAGACTCTGACAAAGATTACGAGTCCACCCTTTCAAAGGCTGCTTCAGTGACCATGCCTTCAAAGATTGAAAAAGAAAAGGTCAGCAAAGATCAAGTGCCCACCGTTAGTGTTAATATGTCATCAGTGTTATCATCATCAGAAGAGCCATCCATCTTGTCTGGATGTGTGACAAAAATGACACAGCAGATAGAGCAGATGTCCAAGGAGGTGCCAAACCATGCAAATGCAGTCAAAGATCCGGCTTCCTCAAAAAGTCACCTTTTTCAACTGGCTGCCATATCCAGTGCACTTGATTCTCCATTCTCTTGCCATCTTTCAGCTTCAGGAACCGTTCAAGAGAATGAAAGCTTTGCAAAAGAATCTGAGTGCAGTGCAGTTGCCAGTAAAGACCTCAGATTGAAAAAACCTCACAGAGTTGATGAAAGCACTGCAGTACCCTTTGAGTTTGAAAAAACACAGCTTCTGAAAGCTAAAAGCTTAGATGAATCGATTCTTGCTTTGCCATTGGAGGTGACAGACATTGCTCACAGCGATGGCAAAATTGTTCGACACCTTGTTGGAAAATTTGACCCAAATCTCGTCAAGGAATTGGACAATGATGCTGTGCCAGCAAAATTGAGAGATGACTCTATGTCAGCTGTCTCTTCGACTGGTGATGGCCTCCAGCCAAAGATGTCTGAAGTTGTAAGCCAGAGTACATTAGGTTCTCCATTTTATGCCTCCCCCAGCAAAACAGTACCGCCCGTGGAGACAAAATCTGTTCCTCCCTGTTCTTCTTCACAAGTACTTCCAAACACTTTTGGTGCTATAAACAGTCCTCGTTCATCAACAAAAAATCTTTCCAGTATTGGAAAATCAAAACCTCTTGTGTCAACTTCCTTGGTGTCTACATCTCACAACTTAACCCATTCCCCTGCTGCCACGTCTTTCTCCGTCACCTCTTCCATAACTACAACTGCAGCAGTAGCTTCCGTTGCCATGACTACAACATCCATCACTACTGCTACTTCCTCTACTGCCACTACTACTATTACTACTGCTACCACCACTGCCAACATTTCGGCTGCAACCACCAAGAGTGCAACCCAAACAGGTCCTGTAAATACTCAGTTGACAAATGTCCAAAGTGTCCAGTGGTGGCCACAAAACATGCAGTGCAGGACTGGGTTGACTGAACAAGCTCCCTGTCCCAACTTGACGCCAACGACTTCAACATCTGTAACGTCCACATCTGCCTCCCCTGCAGCTACCCACAATGTCCCAATCTCTGCTGCTGCTGCTGCTGCTGCTACTACTTCCTCATCTACCTCCCTGACTTGGAGGGCCCCTTTTATGTCGGATTCGCGTGCCTTTTTGCAGGAGGGGCGCAAGGTTCGTAAGCTACAGGGCAAGACACACCCATTGTCCAAACTTGAGGGTCGACAATATTCAGAACAGAGGAACACAAATCCGTCATTTTATAGCACTATGTAAAATGGTTTGTGGTTAGATCCCAATATGGTCATTATTTTTTTTCTTTTGTGTTAGACCCCAATATGGTGGTCATGTTTTTCTTTTGTGTTTGTGTGTGTGCATGTGTGTGCTTCTCTGTGACAAAAAAAAAATGAAGCTTGTTGAGGTATTAGTCTATATGAGTTTGTGCATTTGTTTGCATCTCTGTGTGCGTGTTTGTCTTCTTGCAGAGAAAAATATAATGTGAAGATTAACTTTTTTCATTTTCATCTGATGTTGCAATGTGCAAATTAATATTATTAGCACTTGTTTCATTATTTTTTTATAGAGTGTTGAAAAAAATATTTTTCAAGTAGTAGTACATCTCTCTCTCTCTCTCTCACTAATGCAAAAGAATGTAGGTCTCTTTTGCTCTTAAAAGAGTAAAGTATGTCTATGCCTCTCTCTGTTTGAAGCCTGTGTGTTAGTCTCGCTCTTTCTTTCTCTCTAAATAAGGGTTGTCTTGCCTTCAACCAGACATCTAGTTCTCTTTTCTTTTCTGTGTAAATCTCTTCATATGAAGTGTATACCACTTTTTTTCTAAATGGTCATATTTGCCTATCTAAGTGTTTATATCTACCTCTCCCTTTCTAAGTGTTCTCGACTGTATCATTCCCTAAGTGTTCTCGACTTCCTCGTTCTCTGTCTCTCAGTGTTCTCGACTTCCTCTCTCTCTGTCTCTCAGTGTTCTCGACTGCCTCTCTCTCAGTGTTCTCTACTGCCTCTCTCTCTGTCTCTCAGTGTTCTCTACTGCCTGTCTCTCAGTGTTCTCGACTGCCTCTCTCTCTGTCTCTCAGTGTTCTCTACTGCCTGTCTCTCAGTGTTCTCGACTGCCTCTCTCTCTGTCTCAGTGTTCTCGACTGCCCTCTCTCTCTGTCTCTCAGTGTTCTCGACTGCCTCTCTCTCTGTCTCTCAGTGTTCTCGACTGCCTCTCTCTCTGTCTCTCTCTCAGTGTTCTCGACTTCCTCTCTCTCTGTCTCTCAGTGTTCTCGACTGCCTCTCTCTCTGTCTCTCAGTGTTCTCGACTGCCTCTCTCTCTGTCTCTCAGTGTTCTCGACTGCCTCTCTCTCTGTCTCTCAGTGTTCTCTGTCTCTCACTGCCTCTCTCTCTGTCTCTCAGTGTTCTCGACTGCCTCTCTCTCTGTCTCTCAGTGTTCTCGACTGCCTCTCTCTCTGTCTCTCAGTGTTCTCGACTGCCTCTCTCTCTGTCTCTCAGTGTTCTCGACTGCCTCTCTCTCTGTCTCTCAGTGTTCTCGACTGCCTCTCTCTCTGTCTCTCAGTGTTCTCGACTGCCTCTCTCTCTGTCTCTCTAAGTGATCACATCTACATCCAAATGTTTGTCTCTCTTTAATTGTGTGCATCTGTCTCGTTGAGATGATCGCAAATAATAAATGACCGACTTGAATTATAACATATTTCTCATTCTCTTGTATGTGTTTATCTTTTTCTCTCCCTCTTTCATATTAATGTAGATAAGTTTTACATATATATAGCCAATACTGTAACTATTTCTTTCTATCATCCATTTTTAGAGAACTGTTTTGATGTTCACATGTCTTCATCAGTAATATTAAAAAGGAAAAGAAACTGTACGTTAGTGGGAGAAAGAAACAGAGAGCAGTATACTCTCCACCTCCACCCCATAGTGTCTAATAGCTTTGATATTCAGTCAGTTTACAGAGAAACACTTAAAAATTAAGACCGACACAATTATTTATAAATAAATGCCAGACGGATGAAATCCTATATGTATGCATTTCTCGGATGTAAATTACAAGGCATCAAAAGAGTCATTCCATGGAAATTTTCGTTTTATAAAAAAATTTACACTTATTTTTGAATTGAATTTTTTTTTTTTCTTTCCTGGCCTCAGCCCTTTCACTTCCTCCTACTGGCCTCAAATCTTTTCCTTCCTCCTACTTCCTTCCTGCCCTCAGCTCTTTTCCTTCCTTCCTGCCCTCGGCTCTTTTCCTTCCTTCCTGCCCTCGGCTCTTTTCCTTCCTCCCTGCCCTCGGCTCCTTTCCTTCCTCCCTGCCCTCGGCTCCTTTCCTTCCTCCCTGTCCTCGGCTCCTTTCCTTCCTCCCTGTCCTCGGCTCCTTTCCTTCCTCCCTGTCCTCGGCTCCTTTCCTTCCTCCCTGTCCTCGGCTCCTTTCCTTCCTCCCTGTCCTCGGCTCCTTTCCTTCCTCCCTGTCCTCGGCTCCTTTCCTTCCTCCCTGTCCTCGGCTCCTTTCCTTCCTCCCTGTCCTCGGCTCCTTTCCTTCCTCCCTGTCCTCGGCTCTTTTCCTTCATCCCACTTCCTTCTTGTCCCTGGCTCTTTTTCTTTCCTCCCTGTCCTTGGCTTTCTTCATTCATCCCACTTCCTTCCTGGCCTTGGCTCTTTTCCTTCTTTCCATTTCTTTCTCTATTCTCTTCTCTATCATATGACCATTATTTTGATTGCCTGATATCTTTTGGAGTAGACACATGCTCAGAAAACTTTTAACACCATTGATTATTCACAGAAGGTTTTATTCTTTCTAAACTCCACACTTCTGTTATATGCTCTCTTTCATATATTTTTGTCATATCCAATCTTATTGTATAAGGATTTTATGGGAGCACAGTTTTTTTTTTTTTTTTAAATTTTGGTGTCAGAAACCATTTTCTTGGTCTTGAATGGCTAAAAATAAAAATTAAAAAAAATAACAGCATTCAAAATTTTTCAGAACTGTTTTTCATTTTGTGTTTATGAAAAACTATATTTTTATCAAGTGATTTCTACTAGCTTTAAAGAGGAGGGTTTCTGATGAAAACTAAAAGTTGGTATGGATCATATTTGCTACCAATATTCTTTTTTGTAGTAACTAATTTAAAAAAAAAAAAAAAAAAAAAAAAAAAAATCACCATTTTCTGCCTTGACGTGACTGTTAATAGTGTTGAAAGTTTTTTTTTTTTTATTGATAACACGATATATCTCCCTTGTTTTTGCTTCCTCTTCACACACCATGACATAATTGTTTCATCATTTGTGATAAAAGATGACATTTAGATGTTTTTTTTTGTTTTTTTTTTAGGAGGAGTGGAGTACATTAAAACCTACAATGTTGGGGCCAGTCACATCAGGAATAAAAATCTTATTAAATAAACTATTTTTAAAAAATTTCTCTTTCTGTTTTAAGGAAGTCAAATATCCCCCTCTTCAAGTATAAAAGTCCAGCAGTATTTCACTTGTAAAATCTGTCATTATTGGCAGTAACCTGACCATGTAATTAAACGGTCATCCAAATTTTATCACATTTATACAAAGCTAGTTACTTTCATTATCTTGTAAAATATCCAATCATTAGGAATTTACCTTCTACAACACAAAACTCCTTGCCATTTGATTTTATACAGAAAAGAGTATCTTTTGATAAATTGATCGCTTCTTATTTTTTTAAATAATATCACTAAATTCAAGTTTTTAAGTAACATTGAATAACATTAAGGGTGGTAGGTGGTCATTTATTATTAGTAATAAAATGCTTTTAATATGTTGGTAGTTGGTCTCTTTCTACATCCCTCATTTGTAAGGCTTTTTATACAAATTCCTAGCAACATAAGTTTGTGTATAATCTTAGAGAATTCAGCGCTTGATCTTACAGAATTTGGCACTTGATCTTGTATTTTCAAACAAATAATCTTTAGCACTCTGCAGTATTCATGACTATTACTTCTGCTTCCACTTTGTATAGCTGCAGCTAAACTGTATTAGCTTCATTCTTGATTTCAGCCAAGGTCGTTCTTATTGTTGCCATAGCAGGAAATGAGAACACTCAAGCAAACTGGACAGGAGAAACTTTTTGTCCAGGAAGTGAAGTCACCTCCAGAGTGTTAAAGATTTATTATTTTACAAGTCCCTTTTCCTTAGAATCTTCTCGTTGCTTCACCTGATATAATCTATGAAAGAATGAGATTTGACTCTACCAATATTCTTAGCTGTACCATTTCTTCCAGAAGAAAATTTTCCCTGACTCTGTCAAAAGTTTGCATTGACAAACTCCTTTGGAAATGATGCTTGGCATTCAATGTTTGTATTCTTTAGAATTTATTATTGAAAGTCTGTTCTGTTCTCTTTGTCAGTTGAAAATCTTTAGAATCAGGTTTAAAGTTGCTATGAACATTTCACTATTTTAATCTGTATTAAAATGACACTGATAGGATTGCCTGATCTGATTAAAACAAAACATTTCTCTTTACTGTATTTTTTTTTTTTTTAATTATTCTGTAAGTAAGTGTTCTGAATTATTTTCTTGTCTTTCAAGGGTTATCAAGGGAGATAACCAGTTTTCATTTATACAAATTTTATAACTAATACTTTGGCCTATTAACCCCTGTACCTATTTGGAACAATTTTTCTAAAGTGAAAATGTAATCACTATGTGAGTGTCAGCATCTGTGTATAATATATAGACATTTTTTATCCATTACAGAGTTTTGGAAAATAGACTTTGCCATATAGTTTTGCCACCAACTTAGATTCCAAATGCTTTTTTTATACTGACAGCATTGAAGTACACACACACACATATATATATATATATATATATATATATATATATATATACACACACACAAATTAAAGATGTTGACTACCTGCCAAAAGACCTCAAAAAAAAAAAAGAAAAAATATTACAAAGAAAGAAAGAGAAGTCCAACAGGTAAACACATATCTACCTAAGCAGTAAATAACAGTACTCAACACCTAGGCTATCCAGACAGCAAAAAATGCTTCAGAGTGTCAACCCTCAACTTCGTATAGCTTGAGCTGCTACTTAAGTTTCACACTCTTGTGATCTTCAGATGACAAGAAATTCAGGTAATCTTCAAGCAATGAATATATATATATATATATATATATATATACACACACACACACACACACACAATTAACGGGTATAAATTTTGGAAGGTCCCAACAAGAGATGTGCATTTCTGAAATAGGGTGATTGAGCTTTGCTTTGCTATAATAACTTTGGTAAAGCATGTTTGGCTTGAAGGTGGTTTCTCAAATTAAAGGGGATACAGGTTTGATTCCTGTCAAGAGGTACATTTTCTTTGGTAAGACTTTTGACTCTTAGTAGGTTTAAATATCACTATTTAAAAAACAAAAATGAAAAAATTCCTACGATGCTACCTACAATCACATCATAACTTAAAATATAATATCTCTCAACCTAAATCTAATAAGTTTTATTCCAAATACCAAAATTTATAACTGAAGAAAATATCCAAATAATAAAAATAAAATAATTAAAATTAACCAACTCAAGATCAGGACCATAACTAACTTAAAGCATTAGTCATAAACAAAAGAACTGGGAAGAGTCAATTCCCCCTTTTCTGCCATTTCTCATAAGCCTCCAGTTGCCTATATATGGAGCACACACTAGGAGTAGTGACACATGGTCTGAAGATTGCATTAATGCATGAAGCATTCATCTTGGAATGTTCATTTTTATGTCCACACTATCATATCGGGGTTTTCAAAAGTTCTTCTAAAATCTTCAATCAATCTGTCAGCTATCTTCCCTTCCATAACCCATGTCAAGCCTAGTTGTTGGTCTCTCTTTTTTATGCTACCCTTCTGTAGTTGATCTGTTTCCACATCCTTCTTGTAGTTGGTCTCTTTCCATGACTTTGCAAAAAACCAACATAAAAAAGTTTCCCGACCATTACGATGTTATATAATAAAGATAACTGAACTTGAAGAGGTTATCCATATAAAATCTGCCGCTTCTCTAACTCTTATCATTCATACAATAACCTCCTTCAGTAACCATCTATCTTGAGGAGCACTTGGGCCTTATATAGAGTTAATATTATTAAAAAAAGAAAAGAAAAAAAAAGTCCCCTTTGTAGTTGGTTTCTTTCCATGTCATCCTCTGTAGTTGGTCTTTTTCCATGACCCCGCCTCTGTAATTGGTCTCTTTCCCTGATCCCCTTCTGTAGTTGATCACTTTCCATGACCTGCCCCACTATAATTGGTCTCTCTCCATGTGCCCCCTGTAATTGTAATCCTTTCTGTTGGCCACATTATCTTGTCTGGGAGCTTTGGTGATATCTGTTTTATTCCCTTACCAATTCTAGAAATCAGTTTCCAAAACAACAAGGCTATGAGATTGCACCCACAAAAGCAAAGCCAGTAAATTAACAGAAAGGCATCAGGACAACACAGATCAGACTTTTAGCAAATCAAGATCAAGTATTTCCATCTGAAAATGGTCAGAGAATGGTTCAACAAACATTCTTTAAGAAAACACAAAACGATCCCCCCCCACTTGCAAAAAATACATTGTCAAATAAAGATGTTTAACTTCAATCAAATATTTTTCACCTTCCCTTGTAAATACTGATAGACTTACTTTGATATTCTTTCTTCAAGCTATTGTACAGTGCCTCTATTATATTCCTGACTAACCAAAGTTAAGCTACTGCCTGCCTGCTCATTTCCAAATGGGTGACCACATAACAGTTCCTTGATGCTGGAAGGATAATGCACAAAGCTAAGCAAGCTTTTCCTGTAAAAATACCTCCACACAGGAAAAGATGTTAGCAACTGCTAATTTTGATAATATTTGTCAAAAATTGACTTATTTTTAGATGTTGACTTTGTACTTCCGAAAACAGATACAGGTATCAGCTGCTTTTCAAATATCTACTTTGTCACTTTAAAGAAAGATCAGCATAAGCACTTGGTTCCTTCCCTGCCCTACTCCAAACTATCCAAAATGGTACAAACTGAAGAAGCATGTGATTTGTATGGAAGAAGATATTTCAGTCTTCCTAGGCACAAAAAATAAGACAACCACATCACTCCAGTTTCTATATGATCACCAAAGTTAAGCAACGTCGTGTATCTAGGTGGGTGACCACTTGGGAATACCAGGTGTTGCAAGCTAGGATGTGCAGGTGGTGTAATGGATAATAGCTCGTAATTGTTAACCAGAGAGTTGAGTTCCAGTACTCTTGGGAAAGGTATGAATCCATCTCTTCTCCCTCCAGCTATGGGTTAATTAGTAAGACTTGTATCACTAAAACTATTATTATTTTAAAAATAAAATCATGTACAAAATATTTAGATTTTAGCATTAGATAACCCATAGAGGTTGATATGCTGCTAAACAAAATAAACCAAATCAGACCAAGCAAGCCAATAAAGCCACTAAGGCGCAAGGGGTCACCGAGTGTTACAAAATGAGAAAAAAAACAGTTAGGCAGAGAGAACAATAAAAGAATAGAAATTAAGATGACAAAAGATAACAATTGACAATGCATTTAAACTTTTTAATGACATATATTATCCTCTCTCTTATATGTAGTGGTTAATAAATTTGGAGTACACTAGCATAACTTAGTTCTTGCACAACAGTGACAACATACACAGTGGATTAAAGAAAAACGTT